GCAAGGTGCTCTATCACAAAAAGTTAGTTCGTCATCCCTTTCCAAATCCTTGTTACAGAACTAAGCAGTCCCCTAAAAGTGGGGGCTGTGACATGGCAAATAAAGAAAATGAACTGGCTTGTGCAGGCCATCTGCCCGAAAATTTGCGCCATGATAGTCGAACATTTGTAGTTAATGCCAGTGATTCTGGGTCTTCACAGACAGAAAGCCCATCATCAAAATATAGTGGTTTCTTTTCTGAGGTAAGTCATTTTTAGCGTAACTTTATTCATATTGTACTCCTGGGTTGCTTTGGTTTGGTTTTGGTTTCTTGTTTTTTTTCCCCCCTTGTGTTATTTCTCTTAGCAGATAGTCAACCATTAAATACATATTTGCATGATGATAATTTCCCTAAGACATTTGTACATATTAACACCCCCTCCCCCGTCTCTAAATTAACTTCTAAAATAGGATGAAATGCCTGACAGGCTACCATAAATATCCAAAATGACAAGTTGGCAAGGAGAAACTTAAAGAAAGGGGGGAAAGACATTTTGCCTTAAAAGGCAGATCACTGAAGTCTGCTATCCAGTACACTTGCTCGGTTCTTAGAACTGCCTAGTGGAAACTTGTGTCCACAAACCTGCTACTACCTCCTATAACTGTAAACTTAACTCTTAAGGAAAGCAATTATACAAATGCATATATTTACACACATCATGACATTCACAGAAACAGTTTAAATAGAAAAACCAGAGATACTCTAAATAAATGGTGATATGTAAAGACTAAAAATATGCTATTGCTTTTTGGTAAATGAAGTCAATGTGTATTTTAGCATTGAAAATGTTCATAGATTCATATGTTTATGTGTAGGCAAAAAGAAGAGTTTTTAAAAACGTTATTTTTAACTTTTGGATGTACCTATTTGTCATTGTGTAAAGCATAATTTGGAAGACACATTCCATTTTAGTAGCTGTAACTTTCTGGAGAATGATGTCAGACACTTTTGCCAGTTGAGTATTCACTTTTTGTTTTAAATAATGTTGAGCTAAAGTTTTCATACCATGTATTACCTTACTTAAAAATACATTTAGATGGTGCATTTGTAACATTTCTAACAGGACAGAGCTCAGGTTCTCACCCCTCCCTCGTACTGCTCATTTGCTCATTTGCTTATATATAAGCATATATATATATGCTAGTGCTGCTCACTGGCCTATGCGCTTACCTTTCCCTGTACTCACATGCATAAAATTGGGTCAGCTAGAAATAACTTACTTTATAAATTACTGGGAGTTTTGAAAATTGGTAGCAAAGGGGAGGAGAAAAACGGTCCTAAATTTGTCACATCATTCATTTGCTGTATTCAACTGCAAACTGTAATATTCCTTTCTGAGGGTCAGTATAAGGCGTTGCCTTTGTATAATTTAAAGCTGTGTCTACCAGACTGTTTTCATTAAAAAAGAAAAAGAAAAAAAATCTGTGTCATGTTTCAATGTGGTTTTAACACATTAGATGATTGCCTTTCAGGTTTCTCAGGACCATGAGACAATGGCCCAAGTTCTGTTCAGCAGGAATTTGAGATTGAATGTAGCTTTGACTTTCTGGAGAAAGAGAAGTATAAGTGAACTTGTAGCTTATTTAGTGAGGTGAGTGTGACTTTTTGATCTTTATTTAACATGAATAGTTTTTAATGAGATATGAAAAGTGACTCTTTTAAAAAGCTCTTATTGGTTAAAAATTTAAACTATTGTATTTAGCATCCAGAGAGTCAGTATTATTTAAATTACATTCATCACCAATTTAAGTGTAATGAGGATACAGAAAACTGTTTTATCAGATAGAACAAAACTGTTACTTTTTCTGATTATCATTCTTATCTGTAAAACTAAATGTGGGAAACTTAGCATTTGAAAAAAAGAAACCCCTTGGGAATTTTAAGCATGACTTCATTTTATTTAAGTTTCTCAAATACTCCCTTACTGATACCTAATTGATGCCTCATTGAGTACTTACTTTAAAAAGATGTCATTCATTTCTTTCCATCTCTTTCTGTTTTCTCTTCCTCTGTAGCATTTACCATTAGCATCCTGCTCTGTGTATTTTACTTGTTTGTCTCTCTTTGAATAACTATCACCTTCTACAGCCACTCAGGCCTTGGAAAGCAAGCCCTGTCTCTGTTTTCCCCTTTATGTCTCAGTACTTGACTCAAGATAAATACTGAAGTTATTTGTTAGTAAGTATTGAATGCCTCCAAAGGAGGATGGGATTGTAATATGAATGTAAGGACCTCGGCTCTCTAAGCATTGGTGTCTGTCTTGTACTCACAGGATAGAAGACCTTGGAGTTGTGGTAGATTGCCTTCCTGTTCTAACCAATAGGTAAAAACAGTATTTTTTCAGAAAAAAAAGTAAGCTTTAAAGAAAAACACTGTAATTAGTTCATATTTTGTAACTTAGAATTTCCTTTAGTTTACAGGAAGAAAAGCAATATATCTCACTTGGCTGCTGTGTAGACTTACTGCCTCTAGTAAAATCTCTACTTCAAAGCAAATTTGAAGAGTAAGTACTAATCTAAATCTCCCTTTTTCTCTTTGAACATTCTCAATTCTGTGTTTGTGAATACATGGTAGGAGACTGGGCTCCATGGGATGTATATGATACTTGGTTTTTTAATTTAAAAAATCTGAGCTGCATTTTATTTATTGTGACAGAGGAGGTCAGAACAACTTGTAGGAGTTGGTTCTCTCTTCCACCATGTGAATTCCAGAGATTAACTGGACTGTCAGGTTTGGTGTCAGGTGTCTTTGTCCACTGAGCCCTCTCTCCAGCCTTATTGTTTCTATTTCCAAGGAGTTTCTAGTATGATTAGGAAAGAAATGTAAACAATAAAGGATAGTGACAAAAAGCATCTAAGAATAGCTGTGTAAACTATGGTTTTATAAAGAAGATCATGAAAGTAGTGAAATAACTTTTTCTTAAGGGAGAGGTAGGTGTATATATGGGGGCTTTTAGGTGGGGGAGTATCATCTTTTCTAAAGGCTTGTTATATATGGGGGCTTTTAGGTGGGGGAGTATCATCTTTTCTAAAGGCTTGTTATATGGAAACAAATTCTGTCAAAATATTTCATTTCAGATATGTAATAGTTGGCTTAAACTGGCTTCAAGCAGTAATAAAAAGGTGGTGGTCAGAACTCTCATCTAAATCAGAAATTACAAGTGATGGGTATGTATAGCTTTAAAGATAATTCATGTTGAAATTTCTATGGAAACATGTCTTAACTAAACAAAGTAGTGAGTTTATCCCATCATCATCATTGTATAATTTTATTCTCTTCATTTTCAGAGAAATCTTAAACTGGGGTGCTTTTTATTTATGAAGAACCACACAGAGCCCCTTAACTCCCTGTATCTCTTCTGCCAGAACCCTAACTTTTATTTTATATTGTTGTTTGTTTTATTTTGTGACGGTCTCATTGTGTAGCCAAGGCTTATCTTCAAATTCAACAGTCCTTAGACCCAACTTCCTCATTGCAGAGTGTAAGACAGCACACCTATCTCAGCCCTTCCCTCAAGAATGAAAACCCACAGCAGTGGTTTAACCTTCATATGCACTGTACCAAAAAGAGAGAAGGAAACAGTTGCCCTTGGTGCAGTAGGAATTGGAGATATCCTGCCTGATCTCTATGAAAACAAAAACAAAAACAAAAAACGTTATAATCATCATGATTTGAATATTGTCTTAGCTTGAAATTAGGAGGCTTCTACACAGATGAGCTGGACTCTAAGCCAGGCATGGTGGAACACACCTATGATTCCAACACTGGGAAGGCCAAGGCTGGAAGACCACAGGTTTGAGGCTAGCCTAGGCTGCATAACAAAATAAAATTAAAATTAAAATAAAAAAAAAAGGAGGAGTCCCCCCCACCCCCCAAAAAAAAAGCCAGGCGGTGGTGGCGCACGCCTTTAATCCCAGCACTCGGGACGCCGAGCCAGGCGGATCTCTGTGAGTTGGAAGCCAGCCTGGGCTACCAAGTGAGTTCCAGGAAAGGCGCAAAACTACACAGAGAAACCCTGTCTTGAAAAACCCCAAAAAAAAAAAAATAGGAGGAGGAACAAAGAAACAAAAAGCCAGACAGTCCTGAAAACACATACTTTCTCTTCCCTAATGGCCTCTTAATTCTGTAATCTTTGTAGACTCAGAATTTTCTGTGTCATACTTAAGATGTTCACATGCTACAAATACCTGCTTGTTGTGTCATCTACTTTTGTAACTAAATATCCTTGAATTTCTGTGCCTGGCTAGTACGACTTTAAGAAGTTGCTTGACTTTAGTGTATTTTTTTTACTGATATAAATTAAAAACAAGTCCATATCTTAGTATTTGCTTTCTCCGTTTTCTTTCTTTTTTTTCCTCTCAGAAATATTAAGCTTTTAAAGCAGCAGTTGAATGGATTATGGGAACAGGAAAACCATCTTACTTTGGTTCCAGGATATACCGGTAATATAGCTAAGGTAATCTGTATTTGTAATTTAAAAGTTAGACATGAATATAATAGTGATCTGTATTGATATGCTTGTCTTTTACAGGGAAAAGGTACATTGCTAGTTTAGATTTTAATATTTAAACTCCAAGAAGACATTGATAGTTATAATTGCAGAAAGAATTACTGGTAAAAAAGATTTCTGCCTACTGCTGGGTATTTGCTGTCATGAGTAGTTATTTACCAGGAAATAAAAGCATTGTATGGATTAAGGAAATCTTCATATCATTGGCTCATGAAATGTTGCTTGGATACCTATATAAAAAGGAACAAATGACATCAGGCATTAAATGTGTACCTATACATGATTGTACTCAGAATATTCCCTAATCCCTTTTATCCCTCTTTGCCTCACCTGTCTGTCTGTCTGTCTTTGTTTTTGTTGAGACAGGGTTTCACTATGTAGCCCTGGCTGGCCTGAAACTTGCTATGTAGACCAGGATGGCCTCAAACTCATATAAGTCTGCCTGCCTCTGCCTCCCAAATGCTATGACTAAAGTGTGTATTACCATGCCTGGCAAGAATCCTTTTGTTTGGTTGGTGGTTTTGTTTTTTGGATTTTTTTCAAGATAGAGTTTTTCTGTGTAGCTTTGGAGCCTGTCCTGGAACTCACTCTGTAGCCCAGGCTGGCCTTGAACTCACAGAGATCAGCCTGGCTCTGCCTCCCGAGTACTGGGATTAAAGGTGTGCACCACCACCGCCCGGCTTGTTTGTTTTTTTGAGACAGGGTTTCTCTGTGTAGTTTTGGTGCCTGTCCTGGACTAGCTCTGTAGACCAGGCTGGCCTCAAACTCACAGAGATCCACCTGCCTCTACCTCCCAAGTGCTGGGATTACAGGCGTGCGCCACCACCGCCTGGCTCGTGTTTTTAAAGTATACATAACACATTGCTATGAAGACCTTCGTAGAGCTGAGAAGCATGTTTCCTTAGAATTTTGCTTTTTTTTTTTTTATGTTATGGTTATTGAGACAAGGTCTGTGTAGGTAGGGCTATCCTTAACTCACTGTGAAGCCCACACTGGTTTTGAGATTACCATCTTCTTGCTGCAGCCCTCTATGTGCTGGGACCAGAGGAATGTGCTGCCAAGCCTAGCTATCTTAAATTCTCTTGTTATTAAAAAGGAAAAGCTTTCTTATAAACATGGCCTTAAGATACTATGATAATACTGAAAATTGTCAATTAATTTCAATGTAAGGTCTATAATAAAGTCTTCATTACAGTACCAGCCCCCAATATGTCATTTTAAAAAGTAATGTTTTCTTTGACAGTTTCATACGTGTGTATAGTACATTCTGGTACTGATCATAGCCTCCCACCACCTCCAGTCACCCTACTCTCCTAAGTCCCCATTCCACTTTTCTGTCTTTTTACCTTGCTTTTGGTTTTGTTTATGAGCTGTCCTCTCAGGCATCACTGAAGACAGTGGCTTCCTCTCCCACAGCAGTCCTTAAATGCTCCACTATGTCTTTTTTTTTTTTTTTTCTTTTTCAGGTTAAACATCCAAGCAGATGACTGTAGGGTGGGGAGTGGATATGGAGAGGTGACTGGCTCAGTGGCTAGGAGCATGTGTTGTTTGTACAGAGGACATGGGTTCTCTTTCTAGTATCCATGTACTTTGCAGCTCAAAGCTTTCTGTAACTTCAGGTCCAAGGGATTCCGTGTCCTCTTCTGGATTCTTCTGGCACAATGTGTACATGTGGTGTACATACATACAAGCATGCAAACACTCATACACATAAAAATAATTCGTTTTTAAAAATGAGAGAAATGATATTGTCAAACTATGCTTCAGGCTTTGATTTATACAGCACTTACAGAGTTCCTGCAAATGTTAACTACAAAGTGGAGTTGTTTGAGCACAGGAATCAAAAACACTCACTTAGTATTTACTCAACATTATTGAACATGTACTATGTTCCAGGCCCTGCAATAAACAAATGCAGATAAAATTTTTGAATAAGATTTCTTCCTTCTTTTTAAAGGTTACAAAGGGAACTAGGGCAAATTAAGAAACAAAGCAGAAAAGAAAGAGGTTGTGTATGTTTGTATTTGCTTTATTAACTAATGGGATGTTTCTATTTTATCTTTTAAGGACGTAGATGCTTATTTATTACAGTTGCATTGAGAGATTTCATCTTCTAAAGAGTATTTGGCTATTCAAACAGTGCTGGATTATGTGATTTCCAGAAGTAGGTCTCTCCTGAGAACTGTGAACTGTTAAAGAAATAAAACCAATTTTTTCTTTTAAAAAGCCACATAATAAAACCACTAATGAAATCCTAACAATCTACTTCACATTGAAGTGGAAATATCCGGAAGGAGCAGCTTCAACTTCAATGAGGTGAAAGTGCACTATGAAGACTGTTCGCCTTTGCTGTACACAGATCTCTATGGCTGTTTGGTAGCGTTGCTTAAGAACTGCTGGGTCTTATCTCAATCCTGCAAAGAATATCAGTTATAGTATGCGAAAGCAAGACAGGACTTCTTACCAGGAACTATAAAGACCAATCATTAATTTTATTGTGTTTTATGAAGAAACACTTAAATGTGTGCAGCTATTTTCTTCTGTTGAAAAGACTTCGAAAGTTTAAAACATCATAGTAAGTAATATTAAATTTTTTTGTCCACGCTGATACCGTGTACAAATGCCTTAATTATTGATAAGCCAATGTGTTATAATACCAATATCTCTTTTTAAAAATTAAAAGCAACCATGCTTCTGGCATGATAAAATCATGGAATTAAATCAGGGGTTTACATTCATGTAGAATGTTGTTGTTGAAATATATTCTACACCATTTTTTAAACTTGAGAAATTTTTAGCATCTCTGATTTTTTTTTGCCAGAATCTTCCTGTTATGTTTGTATGTATGTGTTATCCTTATATAAAGAAAAAGGTGAATATGTATTTGTATGAATGTTTAACTGAAAATGTTCTTGGAGTTGGCTAATTTATATTCACTTTTTATTGTATATGGATTTCTAATATTTTTCATTTCTGTAACATTTAAACTTCATTTGAGTAAATTTACTAAATATTTCTATTTTTTGCTTTTTTTCAATTCTAATTTTATATGAAATCTAATTCTTTTTCACTACATGTGTTCTGAAAAGTTACATACATATTTCAGAATTGTTTACAGTTAATGCTGACATTGTACTTTAAGTTCCAACACATTGTATCACTACCTCCTCTAATGGTTAGTATGAAATCCCACCAAATTGTATGTGAGCATTTTTTGTTTTGTTTTGTTGTTTTTTTTATAATCACTTTTAGCATTAGTGTACTCAGTTCTGGAATACCTTAACAGTTCTGAATTGTACCTGTCTTAGAATTGCAGTTGAATTCTCCTGGTCCATCTATCATCTTTCTTGAATAAGGCTTTCAAACTTCCAGAAAAGATAAATCAACTTTCTCTTCATATTCTAATGTACTCCTTTAACATTTTAACACATAAACAGTGACTACTAATAAGCCTCCCCAGCATCTTTTCTTGCTATGAAAATGTTTAAAGTGTTACTTTTCACCAAATTCTGTTTTTGTATAGCTATCATTCCAGATAGCTATGTACTCCACAGAATGAACATTGGTTGTAGTAATTGATTATCATGTCCTCAGATTAGAGTCATTCCAGATGACTGCAATTTTGTGGTTAAGAGGTGAGGTATGTAAGAAATCATTTTTCAGGATGTAAGAATTTCATAAACCTGCATCATCTCTGAAACCTGAAGGTGGGAAATACAACCTTTCTTTCTTAGTTCTTTAGTTTTCATGGTCTTATTGAACCGTTTGGACAGGTTAACATGGGTGGAGTGTGATACTAATGAGACTAAGGATTTGAGTCTCTGATCCTTTTAAGTTCATTAACCTTTCACATGTATGAAGTCATTCCATGGCTTCAGATTGCACTTTCCCTTCAGTATCCATCTAATAAATTCAGTGTGTGATCACAAAGAATGTGGTGTGCATAGTTTACTTCTCAAAGAGAAATAGAATGATTGATTTGTATGATAGTATAGATTTCCAGTTTTGAGGGGAACATACTCAAAGTAAGATCTAATATACCTTATAATTTTTAGTTGCACAGTATGAAATAACATGGATCAGATTATTGACTAAACAGTGTCTTTGAAAAAATATCGAAGTTCAATTAAATGAAGTATCAATAAAAATTGAGTAAGAAACAATACTATTGTTTTAACAGAATGCTTATGCCTAAATGTGTTTGCTGACATGGAGTAAAATGGCATGCTCTATTTTGTATGCTCGGAATAATGTAAGAAGCAGCCTTATGGGCTGGAGAGATGGCTCAGCAGTTAGGAGCACTGGCTGCTCTTCCGGAGGTCCTGAGTTCAATTCCCAGCAACCACATGGTGGCTCACAACCATCTCTAATGAAATCTGGTGCTGTCTTCTGGCATGCAGGCATGTATGTTCGCAGAACACTGTATACATAATAAATAAATAAACCTAGAAAAAAAAAGCTTTACCTTGCAAATATTACAGCTAGATTATTGAGGTGATAGAGGATTGGTATCAAATAATTTGCACCCACTACAGATAAATTGATTTTTGTAATATGTCATGGTCAGAATAAGACTTAAAATTGGGAAGCAAGTATTAGCAGATAGCTTTTTAAAATAATTTTTGGCAGCAATTTAAATAATTGGCATCAGTTTTATGTATGAATCCTGAAATGTGGGAATTTGGATGTGAGTATCTGAGGAGTTACAATACTAGAACTAAACTCTAAGGTCTACTAAGGAATTAAATGCTAATGACTCTAAACATGCTCAATACATGCCATGTCAGAACCCTCACCATGGTTGTCTGCCTCCATTGCTGTATTTCTAGCCATTAAGTCGGTAGTTCTCTGAAATTGATATGATTAACATTAGCCATAATTAATTGGAAGGATTCTTGCCTATTGAATGCTGATAATAGAAATCACATTTAAGTTTCTGGTTACTTACGTTAGTGAAGGAGTTTGAAAAAGTATTATTTAAGCTAATATTTCATTAGGTACTCCTGGTTCTCTTCCTACTTAATGAAATGGTCCTGTCAGTTGGCTGTTGTCCATAGAAAGATGAAAAGAGTAAGAACCACAAATCTGACTCATCTGTAGTGGACTTATGGCATGACTTCTAGCACAGAGTTATTTTCTGGATTCTTTCAGATGGAGGTAGTATCATGTATTGATAGGTGTTTGCTGATATGTGTTCTTTAATTTTTTTATCCATAAAATTTTAAAAATTCTTTCCAGTAGTCTCCTCTTCCCCCTTTTATTTTGCAACAGTAGTATACAGTAAAAAGTTCATTCCTAAGCCTGCCCTGGTGGCACAGGACTATAATCCCATCACTGGGAGTCAGAGGCAGGTGATTTCTATGGGTTTGAAGCCAGCCTGATCTACATAGCAAGTTCAGGCCAGCAAGGGCTACAGAGTACGACTTCTGTCTCAAAAAAAAAAAAAGCAAACAAACAAAAATTATCCCTAAATATTATATTTCTAATTTATATCTGTATTGAGTCACTAACAACACTATAGCAATAGAAAAGAACGTTGTACATTGCATATCCAGTATACTGGGTATGTTTTCCAGTACTGTATTTGACATAGTTTAAAAGTCAGTATATTAAAATACTATCTTCATAATTTTCTCTGAGTCAAGGCATTAAGCTAACAATATCTTCTAAAAACCAAACTTTAGTAAAAAGTATGTACAACCACTCACAGAACATTAAATCATGTTCTCCCTTGAAGACAGGAATTACTACAAGACAAAGTGATATGGCTGCTGTTTACCTGTAGTTCCAGTAAAAGCAACACCACAACCACTGACAGATTTTTTTTTTTTTCAAAATCTGTCATCAAATATTGCTTTGAACTGGGCGGTGGTGGCACACACCTTTAATCCCAGCACTCGGGAGGCAGAGCCAGGTGGATCTCTGTGAGTTCGAGGCCAGCCTAGGCTACCAAGTGAGTTCCAGGAAAGGCGCAAAGCTACACAGTGAAACCCTGTCTCAAAAAAAAAAAAAAAAATATTGCTTTGATATTGCAGAATTTTTTATTCTCTGAACTGTTTTCAGATGAGAACTTCCAAAGTCCAGATAAGGATTCAGCCCCCAAATGGACTTGCTCAAGTACTTGTTTCTTTTCTTTTCTTTTCTTTTCTCCCTAGACAGGGTCTCTCTGTATAGCTCTGGCTGTCCTGGAACTTGCTTTGTAGACCAGACCAGGCTGGCCTCAAACTTGTAGAGATCTGCCCACCTCTGCATCCTGAGTGCTGGGACTAAAGGCTTGTGCCACTACCACCCAGCTCTGATCCTTAAACTTTAAAATACTGTGTTTTCATTCAAGAATTGTGTGAATTTTTTATTTATACCAAAGTTCTTAGAAGAGTTGTTTTTTTCCAGATAAGAAAGAGACACTAGTCCCAGAATATGCTGAACCACCAGAGCTGGAAGCACATAGCACATAGCACAAAGGCTGTTACATTTGTTTTCTCTGCTGTATGGTCTCTGCATCCCACGTAAAAGCTGTACAAATGAAGACTGCTTATAAAATGCAATGGGTATTTTCATATAATGTGTGAAATACGTAAATTCTCGTAATTGAAGAGTGTTCCCTGGGTTTTCCACTTTTATCTAGAAATAATTGAGAATCATTAAAGTGATTTTAAATTCATTTTTAAAGTCACAAAAGATACATACTGATTTCTGAAAGTAGTCCCCCCAAAATTAAACATGTATTAATCTACCCCATGGTTAACCACTTGGTCTTGTTCTTACAGATTTTCTTCTATGTGTACATATATGCATTCCTGTATGTATGGGTATATTCATGCACTCCCCTGTCTTTCTGTCTCTGTCTCTCTATATCTCTCTGTCTCTCTCTTGTGTGTGTGTATGTTTGTGTGTGTGCGCGTGAGTGTGCACGTGCATGCTTGGTTTTGATGGATAGCCTTGGCTATCCTAGAACTTACAGTGTAGATAAGGCTGGCCTCAAACTTGGAAATTTACCTGCCTTTGCCTCGAAAGTGCTGGGATTAAAGGCACGTGCCACCACGTCCAGCTGAATGTATATTTTTAATCCAAGTTAATTTATACTTTACCTACTGACATATATTTGATATGTGGTTTCCTGCTTTCATTACTGAAGAAGACTGAAGGTAACTGGAAAGCTTTTTTTCTTTATTCGCGGGGATTTGGGGTGAAAGGATCCACTGTGTGTTGCAAGCCTGGAATTCACTGTGTAGTGTGCAAGCAGGAAATTAGTTCTTCTGCCTCTGTCTCCCAAGTCCTTGGCATTATAGGTATGCCCTGCCACCATGCTGATGAACATGGTGGTTGTTTATCAGAACTCTTTATATTCTGAGCAATTACTATTGACTTTTTGGAAAAGGCAAAAAATAGGGATTGTTTGGGGTTTTTGCTGTTTGGTTTGGTTTGGTTTATTTGTTTTAAGACAGTCTCTTACTATGTAGCCCAGACTGGCTTTGATAATCCTGCTTTAGCCTCCTAGGTCCAGGGATTATAAACTTGTGTCACTATGTCCAGCTAAAGAATTACCTTGAAAACAGTCTTAGTTTGTGATTCTGCTGTTTTGACCATTGCTTGTCAGCTTTTTTTTAATGTCAGAAAGTTGTCTTATAATGAGAAACAGTACAGGGCTAATGAGATGGTGGAACCCAAATAGTGGAAAAAGAGAACCAACTCTCAGAAGTTGTCCTTTGATCCACATACATGGACCTTGGCACATACATGCGTGCACATACTAAATAACTAAATCAATGGGAACAAATGTGATTTGTCATGCCACTACTTTTATTTTTAAGATAGTGTCTTGTATAGTCCAGACTCCTCTTAAACTCTAGATTCTCCTGCCTCAGCCTCCTGAGTGCTACAATCACAGAGGTGTGAGATCACCTCCAGTTAACGTTTGTTTAAGCCATCCAGAATTTCAGTTTTTGCCCTGATACGTTTCCTCAAGCGAGGAAACCGTTTTCTAAGCAGTAGCCCATTCTCTTTAAGTATGAAATAATCTATAACTATTCAGTCAGTGTAGAATTAAGAGTTTACTGAAGATCCAGAAGATCAATTCCTGATATCAGTACTTTCAAAATATTTTCTACCAAGAGTTTAATAAACTGCTTCTAATAGAACAGTTTTCATTCCTGCCTAAATATTGTTCTTTTGGTGGTATTAGGAATCAAATCTAGGGCCTTTTGCATGCTAGCAAATTACCAGTGAACAATAACATAGTCTATAATCTTAGTTTAACAGTAATCATTGTACTCTGTCTTGGGGGAAAACGGCTTTTGTCTAGAAATAGATAAAAGTTAATAATCAGAACGAAGATAATCAGTTAATAAGAACTAAGGTAACATATATATGTATATTTATATATTTGTGTGTGTGTGTGTGTGTGTGTGTGTGTGTGTGTGTGTGTGTGTGTGTAGACAAGGCACAGTGGCTGGTGCCTGAAATCCCCACACTTAGGAAACCAAGGCAGGAGAATGAGAAGTTTAAGCTCAGCCTTGTATTCATAGCAATTTCAGGCCCCAAAGGATAAACATTGAGAGCCTGTTGGGAATTACAGCAACAACAAAAACCTCAATATTACCCTGTGCATACATAGTTACTACAACCAGCCAACAAGGTTATTGTCTTCTCATGGGGAGCAAAGGAGTGGGATTTTCTAGTAGACAGATGTAGTGTTGACTTACCACTGTTGTCATTGGCTTATTAAGGTTTTTATACTATTACATAGGTAGAATTTTTGAGCCTTTGTCAACTCTGAAATCACCTTTTATATTAGCTTGTTTTTTTTTAAAGATGCATTTAAATGTTTTAAAGAATTAGCAATATAATTCTGCATATTATTCATAAAGTTACTGGTCATCTTAACCTAGTACAGATTCAAGTTTTTTAGCACAGTATTGGCATGCATCTAT